GAGCCCTCTAGAGCAGGGGTAGCCAACCCCAGATGCTGTGGACTACACTTACCATAATGCTCTTACAGGCATAATGCCAGCAAAGCATTAGGAGAGATGTAGTCCACAACATCTGGAGTGATGACGGTTGCCGACCCCCGCGAGTGTATACTTTTTTGACTTTGCTTATTTGTTTATGGTTATTTTCTTTATTTGAAGAGCTAGAGAGAGATACACTTCTTGAATTTCTTCTGTGACATGAAAATCAAGGGGCACACATTTGATATTTTGGGGGACAGTAGAGAGTGCCTGAAAATTCTATGCTGCATTCTGCAGGCCCCTGAAGGTTAGGTTGGATTTCTGAAGGTTAGGTTGGATATCAGTATTCCCCTAATCCTGTATTGATAAAGAAGGCTCCAAAAGACGTCCTAAAATTATCACGCATTGACAAGAGGATTACAAAATGTAGGGTATTTTGGATCAAATGTTGCATTTCTATTGTAAGTTGGTCACATTTTACTCTGTAGTAAATAACCCTCTAAGAGATCAGTGTAATATGTAAGACATTATCTGAGCGATTACTCAAAAAATAAATAATTTGGGCAGCTTAAGTCATGAGCACATAGTAATATATTCGTGTTGACTTGCACTGACTCGTGATAAGTCTCATGTCAGTTAGTCATCATGATCCACTAACTGATAATATTAATTAAAGTATATAACAGCTTTCTGGTGACATTATCATCATACAACACCACAGGCATTCAGAATGGACCCCAGCTCTCACAAACGCTATCATCTACATGAATGGGAACCAACAGACTTGTTTAATGCATATTATTCTGGAACAAGTGAAAAATATATCACTGAAGAGACTGTGAGGTTTCCAGTTGAACAGCTTTATAAAGTGGCAGGACAAGGTATGCTATGTTTAATACATTAATACGTTTAAAAAACACTACTTATTCTCATTGGTATTACAATATATATTTTTAAATTCTTTATTTTTTGCAGGGCATAGAGTAACATACAGGTATTTCAGGACATCATAGTAAAACAATGAGTTAAAAAGAAAAGAGTAGCTTAGTACACCACATGTAATAGATGTTTTGTGTAATAGTATAAGCACTATGCACAGCCAGTCAGCAAGTAGCAGGGCGAAAATTAACGTAATGAGCATCAACAGGTCTGTGGTAGAAATCC